GTGTTGTCAGGAAGGAAGAAGTGTTGTCAGGAAGGTAGTGTTGTCAGGAAGGAGGAGTGTTGTAAGGAAGGAAGGAAGGAGGAGTGTTGTCAGGAAGGAGGAGGTGTTGTCAGGAAGGAAGGAAGGAAGGAAGGGGGAGGAAGTTGTCAGGAAGGAGGCGGAAGGAAGGAGTGTTGTCAGGAAGGAGGAGTGTTGTAAAGGAAGGAAGGAAGGAGGGAGTGTTGTCAGGAAGGAGGTGTTGTCAGGAAGGAGGTGTTGTCAGGAAGGAGGAGTGTTGTAATTTAGGAAGGAAGGAAGGAGTGTTGTCAGGAAGGCGGGAGTGTTGTCAGGAAGGAGGAGTGTTGCAGGAAGGAAGGAAGGAAGGAAGGAGGAGTGTTGTCAGGAAGGCAAGTGTTGTCAGGAAGGAGGGAGTGTTGTCAGGAAGGGGAAAGAAAGGCGGGAGTGTTGTCAGAAGGCCAGGAAAGGAGTGTTGTAAAGGAAGGAAGGAAGGCAGAGTGTTGTCAGGAAGGAGGGAGTGTTGTCAGAAGGAGGAGTGTTGTCAGGAAGGAGTGTTGTCAGGAAGGAGGGAGTGTTGTCTGTTGTCAGGAAGGAGGGAGGTTGTAAGGAAGGAAGGAAGGAAGGAGGGAGTGTTGTCAGGAAGGAGGGAGTGTTGTCAGGAAGGAGGGAGTGTTGTCAGAAAGGCGGGAGTGTTGTCAGGAAGGAGGGAGTGTTGTCAGGAAGGAAGTAGTGTTGTCTACCTGGTGTATAAGCGCTTGTCCAAGTCATTGACCTGAGTCACCTGTGTTCACCTATTTACAACTCTTCGCCGGTGAGTGAGTGAGTGAGAAAATGAGTGAGTGAGTGAGAAAATGAGTGAGTGAGTGAGTGAGATAACGACAAAGACACATATGTTTATCATAAAAAATAACAATAAATATTCAGTCGCCTTTACGTCCATTACTACCGACATCTAGGCTTAGGCGCCACCTGTCTGTCACCTGATCACTACACCTGTAATTTACACACACAAGGTAGAGTAGTTTTTGGCGACGTGTCTCCTCATATTTAGATTAACACACGACACCCTGGCTAGGTATACTAATTACTTCCTCCACACCTGTGTTCCTCGCTCAGTATAACACCTGTCTTACCTGTGTGTTTATTAAAGACAAATTAATATATTGTTTTCTCTGTTATAATGTAAATATTAGGCTATTATTGAACATTTATTTAAAGGGGTTTAAGTATATGAGGATGTTGTCTGTATGTTCGTGAGTCCATCTTGTCCGGAGTCAAATGCATACAATACCCCGGAAATAAGTCGACCTTGAAGCAGGAACTCGACAGACAGACTCTCTCCCTCGGTGACAATGCTCGCTTACACCTTTATTGGACCTGGGTGGTGGTTATCTGAGTGTTTGTCTCTCTATTAAAGGTCACGGAGCTGTGGTGGTGTTGACCTGTTTTCCGTAGGTCAGGGTGACACACACACACACACACACACACACACACACACACGCGCGCGCGCCACTACTACTACTACTGAAGGTTCCAAGTGTTCCCTGAAGAATGCAGTGATGGGTAGGGAAACACCGGGTAACACTGAAGTCCATTTATTCGGATAGGAGAAATACAAGTGGTGACTAGCGTGTGCCATGCACGGCCCACGAAGTCAGACTGAGACTGCCTTGCCATATGGCAACCTCGGGGCAATGTTGCCACATAACACGTGCAGTGTTGCCACGTAATTATATACATAGATGCTACTCGGCACAGTGGCATAGATACATAACCTACAACTACTCCTTTGCAACTTCTCTCCTTGGACGATGGAAACCCTTAACGAAGATATGAAACTGAGTTGCGATGATGTCACCAGTGAATTTGGTCATAACAACAGATTACATGACTTTGGACTGAACAAGTAAGGTAATAACATGTTCTCTCTCTCTCTCTCTCTCTCTCTCTCTCTCTCTCTCTCTCTCTCTCTCTCTCTCTATCTATCTATCTATCTATCTATCTATATCTATCTATCAACTCCAATGTCAAGTACTTAATTTTGCAACAATGATAGAGGAGAAAAAAGTGTTTTCTTTTAACATGTCTGTATATTTTTGGCTAAGCAACTTTTGTGTTCAATGAATACAATTGCCTGCACACTGTATAGTTTGTTTTATAACAGTTTCCAAAAATACAACTGTAAATTAAACCTATTGTATATCTGCTTATTTTACTCTTATATAAATAAAACATGCCGGCTAAAAACAAGTGAATGAAATATAAAAAGGGCACCTTCTTACACAGCCTTATCTTGAGACTTAACCACTTAACCCCGTGAGTACCATCACTTAAGCCCCGTGAGTACCATCATTTAACCCCGTCAGTACCATCACTTAACCCCCGTGAGTACCATCACTTAAACCCCGTCAGTACCATCACTTAACCCCGTCAGTACCATCACTTAACCCCCGTGAGTACCATCACTTAACCCAGTAAGTACCATCACTTAACCCCCGTGAGTACCAACACTTAACCCCCGTGAGTACCACCACTTAACCCCGTGAGTACCATCACTTAACCCCGTGAGTACCAACACTTAACCCCAGTGAGTACCATCACTTAACTCCGTGAGTACCATCACTTAACCCCGTGAGTACCATCACTTAACCCCCGTGAGTACCATCACTTAACCCCGTGAGTAGAACATAAGAACATAAGAATGGAGGAAACTGCAGCGGGCCTATTGGCCCATACTGGGCAGTCCCGTTTACACCCAACCCCTATTGCTCATATAAGCATCCAACCTATGTTTGAAGCTATTCAGCGTATTCGAATTAATGATGATATTTGGTAACTTGATCCATTCATCCACTACTCTGTTTCCAAACCAGTGTTTACCTATTTCACGCCTAAATCTAAATTTGTCTAATTTAAAACCATTGTTACGAGTTCGCTCCTGGTTGGATAGTTTGAGTACCTTTGTAATGTCCCCTTTGTTTAGCCCTGCCTTCCACTTATACACCTCTATCAGGTCGCCCCTCGCTCTACGTCTCTCGAGGGAGTGCAAATTAAGATGCTTTAACCTGTCTCTATACTCAAGGTTCCTAATGCCCGGGATTAGTCTTGTCATTCTCCTCTGAATTCTTTCCAATGATTCTATATCCATCCTGTAATACGGTGACCAGAACTGAACTGCGTAATCCAGGTGTGGTCTCACAAGAGCAAGATACAGTTTTAGGACGACCTCGCTAGTCTTGTAACTAACACTCCTTTGTATGAACCCAAGTACTTTATTAGCCTTGTTACGAGCAAAAACACGTTGTTTACTTGGCTTAAGGTTCCTACTTATCATTACTCCTAAATCTCTCTCGCAGTCGGATTTCTCTATGGCATCGTTGTTCATCCGGTATCTGGTTTCCCAGTTTACATCTCCTATACTGAGTACTTTACATTCGTCCACGTTGAATTTCATCTGCCATTTTTCAGACCATTCGAAAAATTTGTTTAGATCTTCTTGTAGTTTTGTGGAGTCCTCGTCAGATTTAATAACACGTCCTATTTTTGTGTCATCAGCAAATTTGCTTATGTTGCTGTCTATGCCGATATCTATGTCGTTTATGTATATAATAAATAATAATGGTCCAAGTACTGGGCAGCAGGGAACTCACTTATTGACGTTGCTCAATGGGACTTAGTGCCGTAATGCTCATCGCTGTTTCCTGTCCTGTAACCACGCCTAATCCGTAGTACCATCACTTAACCCCGTGAGTACCATCACTTAACCCCGTGAGTACCAACACTTAACCCCAGTGAGTACCATCACTTAACTCCGTGAGTACCATCACTTAACCCCGGTGAGTACCATCACTTAACCCCGGTGAGTACCATCACTTAACCCCGTGAGTACCATCACTTAACCCCCGTGAGTACCATCACTTAACCCCCAGTACCATCACTTAACCCCGTGAGAACCATCACTTAACCCCGTGAGTACCATCACTTAACCCCGTGAGTACCATCACTTAACCCCGTGAGTACCATCACTTAACCTTCGTCAGCACCATCACTTTTAACCCCGTCAGTACTATCACTTAACCCCCGTGAGAACCATCACTTAACCCCCGTGAGAACTACATCACTTAACCCCGTGAGTACCATCACTTAACCTCAGAGCACCATCACTTCAACCCCGAGTACCATCACTTTAACCCTGGAAGTACCATCACTTAACCCCTGTGAGTACCACTAACTGTGAGTACCATCACTTAACCCCCGTGAGTACCATCACTTAACCCCTGGTGAGTACCATCACTTAACCCCGGTGAGTACCATCACTAACCCCGTGAGTACCCATCACTTAACCCCGTGAGTACCACTACCAACCCCGGTGAGTACCATCACTTCAACCCCGGTGAGAGTACCATCACTTAACCCCAGAGTACCATCACTTAACCCTCGTGAGTACCATCACTAACCCCGTGAGTACACACATCACTAACCTCTGTGAGTACCATCACTTAACCCCCGTGAGTACCATCACTTAACCCCCGTGAGTATGATGACTATTTATTTACCTCTCTCTCTGTCAATATATCTATCTATCTATTCACATCTGTCTATAAATATCTATCTACTATTGGCGTAATATAACAAGAGAAATAGATAGATAGATATAGACACATGGGCGGACGGGCGGACAGACAGATAGATAAATACAGACACACTCAATATTCTTATCAGTTTGGGACAATAGATAGATAGATAGATAACAGACAGGCGCAGAAATGTTTCCTTCCGGCAGCGCGACCCAAGAAGAACCACGCTATCAGGGAGCGAGTTGCCAAACACATCAGCCTGAGTCACTGTTACATCAAGATAAATGAACTTTTTTCTTTTTTCTTTTAAGACACGAATAAAACACCCTTCATGTACTATACGCGATGAGGAGGTGTGGGTTTGGCCAATCAAATGCACGCGACGAAGGAAGGAACGTGTACGGATCGTGTCCAAGGGCACAGCGTGGTGGTGGTAAACAGCTGACTGACGCCGCCTGCCTCGCTCTCCCAGTCCAGCAAGTCTCTGTTCAAAGTGTAGCGTGTGTCTCTCTCTCACTCCGGGACTATTTTAACCAGGAAATAAGGCTCTATTTTAAGGTACGTGTTTATGAGATGTCAAACAGTTATCGGTGGTCAGTTAGGAAGTGTTTTGAGGACAGTTTAGAGTGTTTTTGGTGAGTAAATTAAGGTAGAACTTGGCGCGCGCTGAACAGTTACACCCTATGCAGTTCGAAGGACGCCTCTCGCCTGCCTACCCAGTTCCCGCGTATTTTCACTCCTAACGGCTATCAACGGACATTTTACCCTCATTATCACTCGTTTAACTACTTTATAATACAGTTCTCTTCATTTTATAACCGGAACAATACCGTAGTCATCGTTTAACTGCTGGAAAAGGCTCGACAACTTTATGAAACGCTTCTGAACGGTTACTAGACGTGGCGACAATCACCAACCCCGATAACATGACACACCTCACGTTGTGCCTCCACCTACACATCTATACAATAACTATCATCCAAATCACATATAACTTATCATCCACATAAATAAAACACCAAAAAAGGAAAGGATGATATATTAGACTAGAGAGAAAAATGTGATAAAAGGAGCAGAAGTTGGTTTGTTTTGACTACCAGAGGGAGGGTGGGAGGGGAGGGGTTTGTAGCCTGGACACGGGGCGGGGGTGAGGTGAAGTGAGGGAGGGAGAGGGAGAGGTCTTGGTGCCTTTAAGCATAGCGTAACACATACGTATTCCACTGACCATGTTACCCTCCTGGATATAACACCGCTATAATGCTCACAGTCGGACAAAACACTCCCCCACCCCCCATTTTGTTATTTTGACCAGGGTGGTTTTGTCTGTGTTTGATTGTTGCACCAGGTGACGAGGAAGCCGTATAATGCAGCAAGCAAGCAATGTTGTGGGCGGGTGTTTGTGAGCACATATTAGACTCCCTGAAGTTTAGACACCCCGTCGCCCCGCTTATTTCACCTGTTGATTAAAACACCTGGATATGTGGTTCTTGATTAACTAATATTATTGTTGAGTATCAGAGAGGAATGTGTAAATAGCTACACAGGGAGTGTTGAGAGTTAGGATTAGGTTGGATAAAGTTATGTTAGGGTTAACAAGGTTGAAGCTAGGGGTTAGGTTAAGATGTATGAGGATTAGGTTAGATTAAGAGGTGGGGAAGAAGAAGATTAAGATGGTGGGGTTAGGTTAGATTAAGATGGGTGGGGTTAGGTTAGATTAAGATGGTGGGGTTAGGTTAGATTAAGATAAGGGGGTTAGGTTGAGATTAAGATGGGTGGGGTTAGGTTAGATTAAGATGGGTGGGGTTAGGTTAGATTAAGATGGGTGGGGTTAGGTTAGATTAAGATGGGTGGGGTTAGGTTAGATTAAGATGGGTGAGGTTAGGTTAGATTAAGATGGGCGAGGTTAGGTTAGATTAAGATGTATGAGGATTAGGTTAGATTAAGATGGGTGGGATTAGTTTAGGTCGGGCAATTAAAGGGGACGCAGTTACCAAGGGCGAGAGAGAGGGCCAGGAAAAGGATCCGTGCTCGGTATTAACAAAGACTACGTGTTGATAAGAATTTCCTGTTGTGCTTCTTATGACTCAGCTGTGTGGGGGGGTGTAGAGGTCGTGTGTGTGTGTGTGTGTGTAAGGGGGGTGTAGAAGTCGTGTGCGTGCGAGTGATTGAGTGTGTGGGAGGAGACATACTCGCACCTGTGTTAGCACTAGACAGGTAAATCAATCAATCAATCAACCAACCAACCAATAACACCTAAAGTATCCTGGACCGTCACAGTTCAACACACACACACACACACACACCTGAATAAGTTCTCCTAAGACCACCAATTAAGAGGAGAAAATTATCTTAAAACTCTAGTAAGATTTTGTTTAAAGTTCTAATTTTTAAAGGTGTTTACTGAACGTGTTTTGTTATGGTAGAGTCTTGGTGTAGTACTGAGGCCATTTTAGTATACATTAGACTTACGTGTGTATATCATTGAATATATCACGTGAGTATATTAAGTGCACATATATAATAGCGTGTAAAGTGAATATAAAGAGCGTATGATGCATTTACTTGTTTTTTTTTTACGGGATTAGCCCACCAGAGCCTTAGACAATATATTATGCTTCCAGTATCTTCCCAGGCGGTAGTACCTCCCTGTGTGATAGCTGCCTACTACTTACTTAAGTGTATATTATAAGTAAGTAGAGGAAGAGACACACACACTAAAGTAAAGCCGCTCGCCACTACATTAAGTGAGGATAATGTGGCTGATAAGATACTGTACAGGTAAAGCACTCGGGAGGTTAAGAGTCACGTGATGATTTACCTGAGTCACACACACACACACACACGATGGGGGAGAAACCTTGACCGTGTGTGTGTGTGTGTGTGTGTGTGTGTGTTCATGAATTCTAAGTGACTTTACCTTTGAATTAACTTGCCACTACAGGTGTTGTACAGACACAGGTGAAGCTACTGGTATTGGTACAAGTTTAGGATCACCTGAAGAATTTCCACCTTCCAGCCTATTTCACCTAATGATTAACCACCCTAACGTTGTTTGGGTCGGGGGGTGATGTTAGGTTAAGTTAGGGTTAGTGTTAGGTTAGTATTAGGTTAGTGTTTGGTTTGTGTTAGGTTAGTGTTAGGTTAGTTAGGATAGGTTAGTGTTAGGTTAGTTAGGATAGGTTAGTGTTAGGTTAGTTAGGATAGGTTAGTGTTAGGTTAGTTAGGATAGGTTAGTGTTAGGTTAGTTAGGATAGGTTAGTGTTAGGTTAGTTAGGATAGGTTAGTGTTAGGTTAGTTAGGATAGGTTAGTGTTAGGTTAGTTAGGATAGGTTAGTGTTAGGTTAGTTAGGATAGGTTAGTGTTAGGGTGGTTAATCTGTAGATGAAATAAGCTAGGGTGTATATTCTTCAGGTGATTTCAAATTTGACACAGGTACAGTACAGGTAGCTACGGGTGTTGATATAAACACAGGTATGGTTTCAACTAGAGTCATAAAGAGTCACGTACATTTAGTTACAGGTACAAATGTAATTACTTACACAGGTACAGTCACCTGAAATAACTGAGCGTTAATTATTGTGGTAAAAATAAAACAAAAGATAACGTAAAATGTTAATGATAAAGTTTCGTGTTTTGAAAGATTCTGGCAGAGATAAAATCACCGAAAAGTCCTCCGCAGAGATAGTGTCTTAACTGTTCAACCAATCAGAATAGCTCTTCGAGAGAACTAGAGATACGACTGGGTGAGCATATAAGATAAAGTAACCGGTGATGAAATACTTGTCCGTCCTGCTTGGGGGGGGAGGGGTAAACGAAAACACAAGTTCAGCCAATCATAAAAGACCTTCTGGACAATATGAAATACCATTGGCTGAATATGCAATAAAAACAAAGAACCAGTGACGCATCGTGTGGACCATCTCGCCAGGGGTACAATAGAGAGAGATATGTTGTGTTTTTTAAGCTATAATTAGGACAAGACCAAAACAAAATAACCCGCCCCGCCCCGCCCCGCCCGCTGCCAAAGCCCCACCCCGCACACTGCCAAAAGGCCCGCCATCCCACCTAAAATGACCCAGAATATCCGGATAAATTGCTTCTAAATTCTGAACTTCGGAACAAAGATGTGTGGAATAAAATTGCTGAGTTTCGTAATAATTGAGGTCACGATGTTGAAATGCATTACAGAGGAAATGTTGCATCTGTGTGTGTACCCTCACAACACCACCCCTACCCCACTACTGTAAACCCCCTTCCCCCACAACCCTCCGTACTAAACCCCTCCCCCACAACCCTCTGCACCACAACCCCTCCCCACAACCCTCTGCACCACAACCCTCCACCACAACCCCTCCTCTGCACCACAACCCCTGCCTGCACCACAACCCTCCCCTCCTCTGCACCACAACCTCTGCACCACAACCTCCCCACAACCCTCTGCACCACAACCTCCCCACAACCCCTCTGCCTCCCCCCAACCCTCTCCTACAAACCCCTCCCCCACAACCCTCTGCACCACAACCCCTCCCCATATCAGCTGTCAACACCCTCAGGCTTACAAAACAACATAATTAAGAACAAAATTAGATTCACGAGTCGTTTAAGGACAAACCCGCCGAGACGCGAGTAAGAGTTTGTTTGTGTGTTGGGCCGAGGAGTGTTTTTACTTAATTACTGTATAGACAGTTTTAAAGATGTTTTTACTTGATTATAGACACTTGTAAGGTGTTTTTACTTGATTATAGACTTATAAGGTGTTTTTATTTGATTGTAGAATTCAGCAAAGTGTACATTAAATTGTTAGATGAAATCCTTTTATAACTCTAAACCACAATGTCTCTATGGTCAAATGTCAGATTCTGCATAGTTCTTTAAAGGTGCAAGTAAATTAAACATAGTCTAGGCATTCTGGAACGCGTCAGACAATCAATGGAACGACGTGTACAGGCCTGCATTGAGGCAGAAGGGGACAACTTTGAACATTTCCTTTAGGTTGTAACAAAGAGGTGGTCACACTGTAGAGATCTGTGAATAAATGATAACAAAAATCAACGGGGGTTTCACTTTAAATTCACTCTCATTAATACAACATCTTAAATGTATTGTAACATGGAAACTATGCAGAATCTGACATTTGACCATAGAAACATTGTGGTTTAGAGTTATCCAAGGATTTCATCTAACAATTTAATGTACTCTTTGCTGAATCACCCTGTATAGTCCGTAAAATTAAGGTTTCACTGTACTGATGGACTGAAATATATGCAAATCTTTTTTTTTTCTCTTCCCAGGATGGCTGAGTGCATGATGCTGCTGAGTGCGAGAGACCGCTGGTGTAACGAGAAGCTAGAGTTTGTGTGTGCTGTGGTGGAGGGCGTGGACCGGGCGAGTCTCAGAGCCCAGCTGGAGTCGTGCGAGACGGAGGAAGATGCCGAGGGTCTCATGCACAGTCTCTTGTGGCTCCAGGACTGTCACAACGCTCAGATGGCCGCCTTCCAGTATGACGAAGAGCCACAACAATCACTACAATCACAGCCAGATGATGCAGCCACGGAGGAACCCAATCTCTTATCAGTATTTGATGGGTTAGATTTAACAGAGGACGACAACGACTTGAGAAACGACCCCACACACGACCCCCAACTACAGTTTGTACGTATCAGGCAGCAGGAGGGGCAACAGCAGAACGATGCGCCCGTGACACAGATCCTCCTGACGCAGCAGCAAATCACCACCCCGAGGCAGTACCCACGACTCCCCCTCCATGACCCAGACTACCCTGAGGTGTGGGGGGAGTGTGAGGACCTCAACGAGTACCTGGAGGATGAGAACCACTCCCTACTTTATCCTCACAACCCAAACAATCCTCTCCAACTTCTGCAGGAACGACACGAAGACGTTCCGCAGGAAGAAGACGAGGAGGAGGAAGAAAAAGGCGCAGTAGCTGCAGTACCAGCAGCAGCAGAAGACATCACAGCAGCAGAAGACATCACAGCAGCAGAAGACATCACAGCAGCAGAAGACATCACAGCACATATAATACCAGCAGCAGAAGACATCACAGCACACACAATACCAGCAGCGTCGAAAGAGGAGGACACGGCGAATGACCAACTAGTGGCACAGCTACTAGCAGACGAGGAGGAGGAACAACTTGTCGGTGAGGAGACGACGGGGGACGAGCAGCTAGCGAGGGAACTGGCGGAGGAACTAGCACAGGAGGAGGCGGAGGGAGAGGAGACGGAGGAGGAAAAGGCAGCAACTGACGTCGCTATCCTCATGAACATGTTTCCTGACGCCGAGCCGGAGTACCTGCAGGAGAGGTGAGTGTTGACCTGACCACACACACACACACATGTAGAAAACCTAACCTAATCTCACTTTACTTAATCTCTCCTCCTTCAGTGTGAGAGACGAAGAACAAAACCCCAGGTACAAATCCCTAGTTGATCCTCAGCTTAGATCAGCCAAATAGCGGCAAACACACACACACACTAATAGTTTAAGTGAGAGTAAGAGGAAAGGGAAATGGAAGAGAGGATGGAAAAGGGGAGGGGAAGGAAGAAAAGAAGGGAGGGAGAGGGGCCAGTTGACTAATCTTAATATAATCCACAGGTAAAGACAGACAGATTCTGTTTTACATTATCAGGTAAAAAAACAAAGAAAAAATACCGTACAAAGCTTTTAAGAATCTGCTGCTTAAATCAGCTTAAGTCAAGGTTAAAAGTTCTTGTTTATTATTATAAACTTAATTGGAACACAACACCTGAATATTATACACACCAGCTTATTTCACCAGAAGATTAACCTAGCCTAACCTCATCTAACCTGACCTACCTTAACCTAATCTAACGTAACTGCCACAGGTAGGTATTTGGGTGGTTAATCTTCAGGTGAAATAAGCATGGGGAGGCTATTGTTCAGGTGATCCAATAAAGGTATCATTTTAATGCGATACCATGAACTTATAACTAATCTCTTTCTTGGTTTTATTCGGCGGAGAGAAAATAAATGAATGAAACGCCAGGTACAATGTTACTCAGGTACAATGTAACATGATGCCAGGTACAATGTTACGAGACGCCAGGTACAATGTAACACGATGCCGGGTACAATGTTACGAGACGCCAGGTACAATGTAACACGATGCCGGGTACAATGTTACGAGACGCCAGGTACAATGTTACTCAGGTGGATTATTACCCCCCAGTTAATGAATGATATACTTTAAAACGTTCCAATAGTGAATGGTTCTCTCTCACATTAATGGGTGTTGGCAGGAGTAACCCAGGCCAAGTGCGTAGCTCTCTCTCTCTCTCTCAAAAGGTTATCACCACACATAACCAGAAACAAGGGATGAGAGTTTTAGATAATAATGTGTGTGTGTGTGTGTGTTTTAGTCAAGTAATATTTAGAGAAACACATAGAACAGTTCAACTAAAGTATTTCTGTTTATCTGGACATAGCAATCAACACCTGTAGGTCCCTGTTGGTGACATGAGTGGCATCCCCCCCCCCCCACCCCCTATAAATAATAATAATAAAGAATAAATTCGTGACGCCCACAGCTGGTGGTGCCCCGCCCGTCCACTGTTCATTTCGTTCACCTTGTATAAAACGTGGGTTGAAAACGACGCATCGGAACAACACCGTGAAATTGAATGAACACTGAACATATTGCAATCCATAATAACGAAAGCTTATTTACCTCTATATTCTACGTATATTTATTTTCACACACACACACACACACACACACACACACACACACACACACACACATTTCAAATTGGCTCTCAACCAAAATTACCTCACATACTACACGCCTCCCTCCTCCTCCTCCTCCTCCCCTCCCTCCCCCTCCCTCCCTCCCTTCCCCCTTTCAGATAAATGTCATAATGTCATTTACTGAGGACATAAATGACCAAAGTTGTCATCATTCTCATATGGGACATTTAAATTAACTGATTGGTGGGTTTGTGTTCTGGGTATCCAATAACCTTCCGTCTCACCTGTCCTGGCTAGCCAATCACCTGCCATCTTACCTGAAAACGAAAAAAAATACATGAATAAATTTAAATAAATAAAAATGAAAATTAAATTGAAAAAATGAACGAAGTAAATTGAAATATAACAAGTATACAGTAACTACAGTAATTATCTTCTGTCTAAACCCTCAAGTCTTACCCTCCAGACATACTCCACAAATCTCAAGTCTTTATCCCCAACCTCCATCATCCCTAACAGGAGTGTGGAGGTGAAAGGGGAGGAAGAGGCTTTTGGTGAGCTGGTCGAGGAACTACTTCAGCTCAAGACAACAGAGCCAAGGATGAGCGGGTACCTCAAGCGTCAGAAGACACACTCCTCCAACAGCCCTGAGGAGGACATACCTGCGCCTCTCTTTGACCCCAGCAAGGTAAGGTCGTACTTGAGATGATGAGATACAGACCCTTGATAAACATAAATTCTAAATACTTGTAAATATGTTAATAAACAGTTTTAATTACTTGTAAATGTGTAAATACTTGTACCAAATACTGTACTTGTAAATATGTAAATACATACATAATCGTAATTAACCTGTAAATGTGTAAATACTTGTACCAAATACTTGTAAATATGTAAATACATACATACTCTTAATTAACCTGTAAATTTATAAACTGAATGCTGTGTCTGTATGTAAATTGAAGATCCACAGACAGGTACCGTACTTAGTAACACTTGTCATCACATACAATAATTAGTTGCGGTAAAACAATAAACAAAGCAGCTATCATAATTAGTACTGAATCAAGTGTAAGTAGAAATTAAGTATAAGTAGAATATAAGGATGTGGCTTTATACCTCCATCACTTATAAAGATGTCGCCTTATACCCCATTATAAGCACCCCTTCCTTTGTATTCATGGTACTGAGGAGAACCTTTATGAGCACCACCTCTCATTTTCATGGTAGCAGCAGACATTACGAGCATCTCTTCCTCATGTCTTCACTCATCTCATGATTGTGACAACCCCTACGAGTCTTTCCAACCCTCTCCACTCCAGGACGTGACAGCCAACGAGCTCCACGAGTGCTCCATCTGTTACGAGGAGGAGGTGCTGGAGAAGAACATGGCCACCTGCAATGCCTACACCAACTACCACAAGTTCTGCATCGACTGTATCAGGAAGTAAGGACTGTGCCCTTTAATGTCACCCTTAGAGTTTTGTGGGTTATTTAACAGCTGGTGGGAGATATACTGATGATGATGATGATGATGAAGGGCTGAAAAGGCATCAGGGGAGGAAGGGGGTGGGGGATTGAGAAGGGGGTGTTAAGACTGTACTGAGTAAGACTGACTGAAAAGGGCATTTGGGTGATTGACATTACTTCAAGGTTCTGTATAGTTTTGATCAACTAAGTACTGCAATATCTCTAAACATTACAACCTTCAAGTTGAATCTAAAACCTCGCCTCTTACCTCACCACCAGGCACGTAGCAGCACAGATAGGCCAGGGACACTCCTCCTTCAAGTGCATGAATGGTTACTGTAAATGTGAGTTCTCTTGGAGGACACTGAAGAGGGTGATGGAGCCTGTAGTGTTCCATAAGATACAGGAGAGAAAGCAACAGGACGAGATAATGAGAGCGGGTATTGAGAACCTCACGGCCTGCCCCTTCTGTAACTTCATGATCATTATGCCCAACGAGGATGACAAAGTACTCGATTGCCTAAATCCCGAGTGCCTCAAGGAATCCTGCAGGTAGGGATATTGTATTCAAAGTGTTTGATAGAATCCAAAAGGTATGATCAACCTGCACTTATACCTTGTACAGTACAGTGGCTGAAGTGTTTTGTGGGATGTGGCAACTCTGTGGAATGTGTATCTAGTATCCTCACACCGGCCACTACTGTGTTTCATTAGGGCCATTCCGAGATATTTAATACGATGTAAATAAACACAGAGGTGCCACATCTTCCAAAATGCACCAGCCAGTGTATTAGGTATGAGTGCAGGTGACTGTAAGTTTGATGTTCTATGTGTCTAGCTGTACAGTAGGTAAGATATCATACCAAATGGCTCCAAAAGTCCTGGTACAGTAGAAGGATGCTGTTCCATGCATTTAACTGTAAATAGGATATTGTACAATATCTTTCTTAACCCTGAAGGAATCATGAATGACAGATATGTTCTTGTATGTTCACCTACAGTAAGATTTAACCCTTTAAGCACAATAACAACCCCTTGAATACTTTAACACAACCCTTTGAGTACATTGACAACTTCTTGAGTACAATGACATAACCCCTTGAGTATATTGACTTAAAACATTTAGTTTCCTACAGGTTTAAAGTATTGTACAATTTCATATAATGTGAAATACTCTTTTATGTTAATGACGAATTTATCTTACTTTACATGGCCTATTTATACTATACCTGTACTATATGGGAAGAAAATAGATCTGTAGTTTGTACTGTGTACGTACTATATTGCCAAAATCTAAAACACTGGTACAGTAATTTAGGTTATGTTTATTATTCATGAAAAAAATAGGAAACAAACTTCTACCCATTAATTTCCAAACTTGCTGAAGGAGAGACACACTTTGTCAGGCTGTGTAAGGAGGTGTCACATGTGCCGCTCCGCTGTGAGGAGGTGGAGAGAGAGACACAGAAGGATGCTCGTGTGGTGCTGGAGAACCAGATGGCTGAGGCTATGATCAGGTGAGGCTGTGTGTGTGTAATCCAACCATGACTTTGTAATTTTATGGTTTTGTTTCTATAAATATACTGTATCTTAATGTCTATGGAGTCTTCAATGCAAGTTCAATTTCTTCTTCCTCTTCCACACCACCATCATCATCTTTATTGGTCTTCTTCTCTTCCATTGATACAGTTGTTCTCCTGCTTTAGTGCTGGGTTGCTAGACAGGTGTTAGCTGGTTGCCCCATTCTTAAGCAATAAGTCAGTGGGTTCCTCCATCACCTTGGCCAGATGCTAGACCACCCAAGGGTTGTTCCACCATAGCCATGTACACCTAATAGTGAAGTGAAGTCAGTATATAGCAGTGTGTACTTACAAAAAAACATAACTGAAACATTGTGCCAATTAATTAAAAGTCATGACACTAGTTTACATTCTTCTTATCTGCATCAAAACAATCATCTGCCTCATGTTGCACACTGCAGGGAATGTCCGTACTGCAAGAAGAGATTCATCAAGGAGGCCGGCTGCAACAAGATGATGTGTTCCTGTGGCACCGCCATGTGTTACCTGTGTAAGATTGTCATCACTAACGACTATCATCACTTTGAAAAACAGGGCATTGTTTCAGACAAGTAAGGAACGTTTTACTGTGTTCTTCACTACTGAGACAGATAAGTCTTATCACCATAATGTAGAATATGGATTTGAATATTTATAAATAAAATCCTGAAATATATTTTTTTTTAAATGTTCATCAGCAGTTGACCAAGGTGTAATTATATACAAACAAGAATATTTACAACTCAAAATCTACTGTTCATTAAATATTTTGATAAAATTTATCAAGACTGCCAAGAATATATATATATATATATATATTTTTTTTTAAGGGGATTAGCCCACCAGGGCACAGGTCACTGACCCACATCACGGCCTGGGGAGCAAATATATAATAAAATAATAATAATAATAATAATAATAATAACAATAACAAAAAAAAAAACAATAATAATGATTAATATGTATAAAGACTGTACAAAGATCCATTACTACAGCATCCATGTTATCCTCCAGGTGCCCGCTGTGGAGTAGTTCCTCAGAGCTGCACACCTCTGAGGTTCGAGCGGCAGCACTGAGGGGGAAGCAGGAGCTGGACCCCACCATCCAACTTGTCTATGACCCCACTGTTGACATCTTGTAACCCAGAGTGACCCACTACTCATAATGGTTGGTGATGAACATAACCTTGGTGCTATCAACACTCTGTGATGCTGTCTTGAACAACAGCCATACGGTATACAGAATTTGCAACAACATTCAACTTGGATTGCAATGCCAGTTTGTGATGAAAGAATGTACACATTTAAAGTTAAGTTTTATATATTCAGATCTCGGTACCTTCTGACTAAAGGCTTTTGGATCAATAGGTCAGAATCGAGTGAGAGATTATACCATGGCTGACTGTCTTCTGTCAGCCATGCCCGTCACTGGTATGGCAATATACTCACTGAGGCTATTACTAAAGTGTCGGGGTGTCTATTCTGGGTCTTTCATGCTTCTGTAATTATACTGTACCTATGTCACTGCTTTTGTAACATCCACTGTGAATACTATGATGGCCATCTGGGTCTATGATGGCCACCTGCAACTATGGTGGCCATCTAAGTCTATGATGGCCACCTGCAACTATGATGGCCACCTGGGAATCTATGATGGTCACCTGGGAATTTATGATGGTCACCTGGGAATCTATAATGGTCACCTGGGAATCTATAATGGTCACCTGGGAATTATAATGGTCACCTGGGAATCTATAATGGTCACCTGGGAATCTATAATGATCACCTGGGAATCTATAATGGCCACCTGGGAATCTATAATGGCCACCTGGGAATCTATGATGGCCACCTGGGAATCTATGATGGCCACCTAGAACTCTATGATAGCCACCTGGGAATCAACTAAATCACAGTAATTTTCCAACTAACCCCTTGTCTATGAGGTCCCCACTGTGCTGAATAAAATTGTTTGGCCCGAGACAAAATAAAACGGTAAATGTGGCGTCCCCATAGAGAGGTGGTTAGGCAATTAAATCATTTTGACCCACATGACCATCATAGTGGCCTCGCCATAGGTTTGTGATATTCATATTTTTAAAAGGAAGTGGAATTTTACGGATATATTTACTACAAGATTCAAGAGCACCAACCCTGACCAGAACCTCCTTGTGTTATATTCAGATAAGTTTGTGTTATGAGTGACTACCAACCAAACCTTTTACCCCAGTATTTTAAAGCTAATATAATACAATATACAGTACAGTATATATATAGTCTGATATGGACCAATAATTTATCCCTTTATAAACATAGATGAATAATTTTGTAGAAATGTTATGTATATTAATTCGGTTGATGAAGGATTTTTTTTAACATAGTACAGTACTGTGTGTGTGGTGAATATCCCATTTTCCTTTTGGTTGTTGATCACAGTGCCATACAGTGGGGTATGCTATAACGAACGTAATTGGTTCCAGAACCTCGTTCGTTATAGGATTAATCCGTTCCAGGCCCCCAAATACAACCACTTAACACTGAAAAAATTCTGTGGAAAATGTAAAAAATACGGTACTTTATCTTACCTTAGTGTTATTCAGCATGCAGGTACCCCTAAACACTGGCACAGCACTATCACTTGCACTGGGAGTCTTGGCTTTAAGGTCCTCAAACAATTGTTTAGCCTTCTCACAAATTATAGCTTCACTAATGCTATCACCTGCCATTTCTTTCTCCTTTATCCACACTAAGAGTAAATTTTCCATCACTTCAATCACATTACACCTTGCTTTGCTAAGTCTAAAGATTCCCTTAGCCACTTGCACAGTTTTTAAATCCTCTTTATTCTTCAAAATCATACATATAGTCGATTTAGCCATCCCATATTCATCACTAAGTTTCGCAATGCTTCTTCCATTCTCACGTTTCTTTATAATTTCTTTCTTAGTTTCAAGGGTTATTAGCTTTCTCACTCGCTTTGGACGATTCATTGTTACAATTGTGTACTTGTATATCAAAATAGTTCTACAAATAACGCGAATTTCCACATCAAAAGACGAAATTTCAACAATAACAGTGGTGCACTGGCTACACAATGAGACAAAGATGGCGCCTGACGCTCTTGTTGTGGGTCGCGGTACAACAATATTCATGCGCTAGGCGAAATAGTCCCGTATTCATCCGCGTTCGTTGTAGGAGTTGCGTTCGTTATAGCATTCTCAATTTTATAGGTAAAACCGTTCGTTATAGGAATATTCGTAGTAGGATCCGTTCGTTATAGCATGCCCCACTGTACTTTGACTTGGTTGAACATTCTTCATTCGGATCTCTGGACATATAGTATCTTAACAGGTTAATTGGAGACAGTCTGATTAAGATTTATACCACCCTCATGGATACCAAAATACTGTAGAGTCAAACTGAAAAAAAATACTATTAGGGCTCACCTGAAGATTAGCCCCCCATAGATGATTATTTCACCCGAATATTAGGTGGAGGTTAATCTACAAGTGAAATAAGCTGGGGAGGGGGGGGGGGTAATCTTCATGTGATATTTGGAGGTCACAATATCTGGTTAACAGTCTCATGAGGTTAAAGTGTTAGGTGACATAAAGAACAATATACTTTACTTTTTTCATTATTACTTTATGACAGTACAGTACATTACTTCATGTTATTCATTATTATCTTATTATGTTTTATTCATTATCTTATTTCACTTTACTTTCAATTATCTTAGTACCTTTATGTTTATTCATATTTTAGGGGACCTCTTTAACCTAATCTAACCCAACCTATCCAAACTCATCTCAACCTAACCCAACTTAATCCAGCTAAACCAAACCTAACCCAATCTATCCTAACCTAACTCAATCTATCCTAACCTAACCAATGGATGTGATTTATTTTACTCCTCAGGGAAAACAAATGTAGTATTATTAGTATAACCAACCATCATTCCACTCAATTATAGTGACTACATAATGATGAGGTCAATTACCATGTAAATGACTCTACATGATGAGGTCAATTACTGTGTAAATGACTATGTAATGAGGTCAATTAGACTAGGTCCAATCATTAGCTTTCTTTAATTGTCTGTATGTGGCTCAATATGTTGTTATGGTGCAGTTCACTCTTGTTTATTGTTGACTCACTAAAGTATTCATTAAGTGATGAAAATAAGAATTGAGTAAAAAATAAATAAATAAAAGTTCCTTGTTTTTTTATTTCTTCAGTCATGAAGATGATGAAATAAAACATAGACAATATTATCTTAATTCTCAAACGGTTAGAATACTGTAAATGTGTTGTTTTGTAATTGTTGGATTGATGAAGAAAAAAATATATATTATTAGAAAAATACAATAAAATTAATAATTGTTAGAAAAAAATAATAATAATATAATTTGTTTTTTAATTTTAGATACCTGTTAGAAAAACACTTACGTTAAAACAGTAATAAAAATATTGTTATGTTAAGTTATAAGGACAATCTAGTTGGTGGAAATGTAAGATTAGTTTTGCAGTAAAGAATATTTCAATAGTAATTAATGGTATAGTACAGTATGGTAAACCCTTTGATGATGATGATTTAACCTTTAGATGATGAGAATTTAACCCTTTGATGACAAATTAACATTTTGTTGATGTTTTAACCCTTTGGTGAAGATTTAACCCTTTGAGAGATGCTGATATAACCCTATTATGATGATGATTTAACCCTTTAATGAAGATGATTTAACCCTTTGACGATGATGATATAACCCTTCAAAACTCAAAGGGTAAACTTGTGTCGGTACCCTCGTGTTGACGTGCCTCAGTGGGACCAGACCAGCACCCAACACGCCGCCACACCCCCTTACCTGTACAGTGTGACCCATGGTTGACCTAGCCACACATTACCAAGTTCAGACTCATTTCAATTAACCTGGACCCCACATGTCCCTCTCTAATACCCCCAAAAGAATGTGCTGAAATTATTCTTGAACTCTACAGCAGATACAGACCGTCATTACAGAGACCCAACACTGTAAACTGATGTAGTCTGTATATGTGTGTTTGTAAACTATTGTATGTATTTATTTTACATTGTACAGTCATTTATTTTTTCGTGTGTAGTTGTTGCAGGTGAAAATTGCAGTGTTGCAACATTGGAATGCATTTCGGTATTGTTTTTTTGTTTTTTAGTTGCAACATTGTCGCTTGGCTGTTGATTACATGCAACAAGACAAGGTAAAACTTTTTCATATATTTACTTTCAAAATTTTCCATTAAAGTAAAAAAAAAATATAGGTTAATTGGATCACCTGAAAATTCCCCCCCCCCCTGTTTATTTCACGAGGCTGGTGACAGAAGAAGGAGATGTTGGTGATGAAGCAATGAAGGAAGAGGAAGAGATGGAGGAGGAGCTACTTCAGGAAGAATAGGTTAAGGTTTCACAATGTTACGTTAGGTTAAGGTAGGTGGGGCTTGATTGCCTTAGTACGGTACAAAGGGTTTAGACGCAAGCGGACGTCACGGCGGGGAAAATCAATCGGCGAATGTCATGCCCGCTAACAAGTGGGTCCTGCCAAAACTCAGGTGGTGTAGTGGTGGACGGGGCTGTGGTGGAGGAGGAGCGAGGTGAAGGAGGGGCGTGGTGGAGAAAGGTGATGGAAGGGGCGTGGTGGAGGAGGGGCGTGGTGGGAATGGAAGGGGCGTGGTGGAGAAGGTGTGAAGGGGGCGTGGTGGAGGGGAGCGAGGTGAAGGAGGCGTAGGTGGAGAAAGGTGTGATGGAAGGGGCGGGTGGAGGAGGAGCGAGGTGAAGGAGGGGCGTGGTGGAGAAAGGTGTGATGGAAGGGGGCGTGGTGGAGAAAGGTGTGATGGAAGGGGGCGTGGTCAGGCATCATCTTCACACGTCCCCTCCTTCCCCCCACCACCACCACCTCTTAACTCCGTGCCAGTGAAGGCTGCTGACACACCCCCTAACAGATTGTAGTCAGCGCCTGACCACTTGTTGACGAGATGCATCGTCACCTGCTGCCACGATCACCATCACTACACTACCAACCACCACCACACTCTCCACCACCATCACTACATTACCATCATCACTGCCACCACACCACCATTAAACTACCACCATCACTACTACAGTACAACACCAGCACTAGAAGCCACCACCATCACTACTGCACTATAAGCCACCAACACACGCTCCAGCTATCCACTTAACAACACAACACAAATAACAACACCACCAACACAACACCAATACAAAACCAACACAGCACAACACCAACAACACAACAAACACCAACAACACAACACAACACCCACAACACAACACAGCACAACACCAACAACATAACACAACACCAACATAAAACAACACAACACCAACACAGCACAACACAACACCAACATAAAACAACACAACACCAACACAGCACAACACCAACAACACAACACAACACCAACATAAAACAACACAACACCAACAACATAACACAACACCAACATAAAAACAAAACAAATACACAACACCAACATAAAACAACACAACACCAACACAGCACAACACAACACCAACATAAAACAACACAAAACCAACACAGCACAACACCAACAACACAACACAACACCAACAACACAACACCAACAATACAACACACATTAACACAACAAACACTAACAACATCAACAAAACACGACACCAACAACACAACACAAATAACAACACCACCAACACAGCACAACACAACAACATAAAACAACACAACACCAACACAGCACAAACACAACACCAACATAAAACAACACAACACCAACACAGCACAACACAACACCAACATAAAAACAACACAACAAACCAACACAGCACAACACCAACAACACAACACAACACCAACAACACAACACCAACAATACAACACATTAACACAACAAACACTAACAACATCAACAAAACACGACACCAACAACACAACACAAATAACAACACCACCAACACAGCACAACACAACACCAACATAAAACAACACAACACCAACACAGCACAACACCAACAACACAACACAACACAACAACAACACAACACCACAACACCACCAACATAACAACAAAACAACACAACACCAACACAGCACAACACAACACCAACATAAAACAAACACAACACCAACACAGCACAAACACAACACCAACATAAAACAACACAAAACCAACACAGCACAACACCAACAACACAACACAACACCAACAACACAACACCAATACAACACACATTAACACAACAAACACTAACAACATCAAAAACACGACACCAACAACACAACACAAATAACAACACCACCAACACAGCACAACACAACACCAACATAAAACAACACAACACCAACACAGCACAACACCAACAACACAGCACAACACCAACATAAAACAACACAACACCAACAACATAACACAACACCAACATAAAACAACACAACACCAACACAGCACAACACAACACCAACATAAAACAACACAACACCAACACAGCACAACACAACACCAACATAAAACAACACAAAACCAAC